CAACTGGGGCATGCACCCTGACTGGGAATCCAACTGGTGACCTCTTGATGCGTGGGTCAACACTCAATCCACGAGCCACACTGGCCAGGCCTGCAATTGTTATTTTTAAATCTTGTACTTTCCATCTTGCCCAAGCATAAACACAACTATGTGCTGAAATTTGTTTTGCAATAATGTTAATGAAAGTTCAACACTGGGGAAAAGCAGCACTAACTTGAAGGCCCTTTAACTGGCAACTGAAACAGAGAATAGAAATTCTCTCTCAGTTTCAGAGTTTTTTTGTTTTACTTTTTATTAAACTCTTGTGTTACTGATTGTGTGTGTGTGTGTGTGTGTGTTTGTGCATGCGCACACATGCACATGTGTGTTCTGTCCCATTTAGTTTGTTTGTTTTAACTGTTTCAGTTATTATAGTTTTTACACATAGTACATTTATGGGTAAGGCTGAATGTTGATTCTTTGTTTACATTACTTTTAGAAAGCCTTTTCTCAAACTCTCCTATTTGAACTGTTGCTGTTATGTAATTTTGATATTTAATTGATTTTTAGATAATACACATTAGGCAAGACCCATTTTGTTAGTTTCAAGAGGGAATATTTCAGATCCTTCTTTTGGAGATGATAACAACAACAAAATATTTTAAAAGATTATGAAGTTCCTTGATAGAAATCTCTGAAGAAAACTCAAGATAAATAATTACAAGTTGGAGGTCACTTTGGCACATTTGAAATTATTAAAATTATTTTATTTAATTAATTTATTATTTTTAGTTTTTCAATTACAGTTGGCATACAATATTATATTAGTTTCAGGTGTACACCCTGGTGATTAGACATTATATAACTTTCTAAGAGATCATACCAATAAATCTTGCACCCCTCTGACACCATACATAGTTATTACAATATTATTGACTACAGTCCCTATGTTGTACTTTACATACCCATGATGCTCTGTAACAACCAATTTGTACTTCTCAATCCCTTCACTTTTTTTCACCCATTTCCTCAACACCCCTCCCATCTGGCAACCATCAAAATGCTCTCTGTATCTATGAGTCTGTTTCTGTTCAATTTGTTTATTTATTTTGCTTTTTAATTTCAATTGTTGATAGATATGTATTTATGCCATTTTATTGTTCATATATTTTTTTTTATCTTTGTTTATTCTTCTTTCTAAAGAAGACCCTTTAATATTTTATGTAATACTGGTTTGGTGGTGATGAACTCCTTTAGCTTTTTTTGTCCTTGAAGCTCTTCATCTGTCCTTTGATTATAAATGATGGCTTTGCTGGAATAGAGTAATCTTGATTGTAGTTCCTTGCTTTTCATTATTTTGAATATTTCTTGCCAATCCCTTCTGGCCCTCTAAGTTTCTGTTGAGAAATCAGCTGACAGTCTTATGGGAGCTCCCTTATGGGTAAGTACCTGCTTTTCTCTTGCTGCTTTTAGGATTCTCTCTTTGTCTTTAACCGTTGGCATTTTAATTATGATGTGTCTTGGTGTGAGCCTCTTTGGGTTCATTTTGTTTGGGACTATGCACTTCCTGGATTTGTATATCTATTTTCTTCACCAAGTTAGAAAAGTTTTCTGTTATTATTTTTTCAAATAGTTTTTCAGTTTTTTTCTCTCTCTCTTCTCCTTCTGGCACACCCATTATGCAATTATTGGAACACTTGTAGTTTTCCCAGAGGCTTCCTATCTTCTCTCTCTCTCTATCTCTCTCTTTTTTTGTTGTTTTTGTTGTTCTAATTGGTTGTTTTTTGCTTATATTCCAAATTGGTGATTTGATTCTCAGCTCCATCCACTCTGATTCTCTATAAATTATTCTTCATTTCAGTTAGTGTATCCTTCAGTTCTGACTGTTTGTTTGTTTTTTTTTTTAAAGGTTTCTATGGCCTTTATTTATGCTATTGAAGTTCTCGTTAAGTTCCTTGACATTCTCACTAAGTTGCTTGCGCATCTTTATAACCATTGTTTTGAACTCTGTATGTGGTAGTTTGCTTGCCTCCATTTTATTTAGTTCTTTCCCTGGAGATTTCTCCTGTTCTTTCCTTTAGAATCTCTTTCTTTGTCTCCACCCTTTGGCTGCTATGTCTCCCAGACTTGGTAGAGTGGCTTTGTGTAGTAGGTGTCCTGTGGCACAGCCTCCACCTTCACCTGAACTGAGAACTCCAAGTGCACCTCTCTGTGGACTGTATGCACTGTCTTGTAGTTGAGTCTTGATCGCTGTTGGTGACATTGGGAGGGATTGACTCTCCCAGGCTGATCAACTGTGAGGACCTGCTGCAACTATAGCAGAGGAGCTGCTGTGCAAGAGCCAACCCTATAGGTCAGGACTTGCTTCAGTGGGACTGGGGTGCTTACTGAGTCCGCCCCTTGAGTGTGTCACTCGTGGAGGTGGTAGGGTTATAATTTGACGAGGTCTGAAGCTGCCCACTGGGTGCACTGGTTCTGGAGCCTCCCGGGAGGTGTAAGGTCAGTGCCCACCTGTGCTCTGCCTGGAGCCATCTGGCATAAGCTATAGAATGATCTTCAGATGGCTTCTACTTGTACTGGGCTTAGAGGTAGTGTCAGGCCTGAGGCCACCTAGCAAGAGGAATGGGGTACTCAGAGGCCACATGCTACTTGTTTGAGAGATTTTAGGAAAGTCCAAAACATGAGGCAAGAGACTATTTGTATGGAAAAACTACTGGAAACAGTTTGGTTGGGCCTGCAAGTTGGGTGGGGTGGGGTCTCAAGGAATCACTGGGGCCAAACGGTATGGGCCATTTTGATGGAGACTCAGGTACGATGTCCACCTGCTGGCTCTGTAGAGGTACAGGGGGGGTCTCAGAAAAGGAACAATGACCTCTGCCAGAACTTTTCTCTGTCAGAAAACTGCCCCTCTCCACCTCAGTTCTCACTTGGATCCCAGACAATTCAGTTCCTTCTCATATGTCCCGGTTCCTTTCTAGCCACTGCCCCAGCCTTGGAGTTCAGAGGGAGTGAGTCTGAGTAAGCTCATGTCCTGATCCTTTAATAGGATCTGCTTGGGACTCCAGCAGCCCTATATTTTCCACAGTCTCAATCCCCACTGGTTTTTATAGCTAGAAGCTGTGGGGACTTCTCCTCCTGACCCTTGAACCCTGGTCTAGGAGGCCTGGTGTGGGGCTCGGACCCGTTGCTCCTCAGGGGAGACCTCTGCAGGTGAGATATCCCTCCTGATTTTTACCTGCCACACGTGGGTGTAGGATCAGCCTGTTCCTCGTCTCTGCCCCTCCTACCAGCCTCAATGTTGCTTCTTCTTTAAATTCCTACTTGTAGGATTTCCATTCAGCTAGATTTCAGGTGGTTCTGAATGATGGTTGTTCTGTAGTTTAGTTGTAATTTTGATGTCAAAAATTATTTTAAATTTTAAATTCAGAAGAGAACTTTTTTATTTTTAAAGAGAGAGGGGAAGGGAGAGGGGAAGATAGATACATCAATGAAAGAACATTAATCAGCTGCCTCCTGCATGCCCCGTACTGGGGCGTTGAGCCCACAACCCGGGCATATGCCCTGACTGGGAATCAAATCAGTGACTTCTTGGTGCATGAGACAATGCTCAATCCAATGAGCCACACTAGCTGGGCCAGGAGAGAATTTTTAAAGAGACAATTCACAGAGATTGACGCAACTGCTTTTGATAGTATGTGGAGTTTGTCCTTGAATGGGGCAGAGGATATTGAAACATTATATTTTTTCCCATATGGTACTAATACTAAACAATGGATTAAAATACCTGAATTGTAGTTCTGGCCTTGCCACTTCCTAGCTAGGTAATGCTGAGCAAATCATTTAACATGTCTTTACATTTCTAAAAATGGAAGAGCTGAATGAGATTTTCTTTCCTCTTGGCTATATTTTAAAATTCTAAAATGTCAACAGTAGACACCAAAGTAATTTTCTACAACTTCATGCTGCATACATAACCTCAGAGCGTGCTCAGCAGGTGCTAGGACATGGGGCTCTGCAGCGTTGGACAAATGCTCCCTCGGCTCCTCTAAATTGGGTCAGCTCCCTCTTCCTCAGCGTGCATCAGATCAACAATGGTGGGAGTGTTAGAACTATTCAGATAAGAGCTGCACGCATACCTGATCACAGGTTCGGCCAGCCCAGAGTGGGTGAGGCTGAGTCTGTGGGCAGGTATTTTCTCACAGACTCATCATTCCTGTTCCAGCTTCAGCTTCTTCACCAACCACATTCCAAAAGTCTACAGATGACTTGCTGTTAGTCGGTTCGGAAGAGTTGATGTAAACATAAGGACATATTTTACTTCAAATAATATTTTTCTCAAATTTGAACACATTTATTTACTTAAAGTGACAACATGCTATCCTCCTGGCCTGCTTAAATGTTAGTCTAAGGAGTTAATTGCTCATATTGCCACACAGTGAAAATAACTAGGCTGCAACTCATTTTAGTTATTGAATAGAGTTTAATTACTAGGTGTCCTTTGAATTAGTCTCTCAGCAATTAACTAGTGATTGCAACTTAAAATAAAAATCTTGTACATGGCTATTTAGTTGAGCTAGATAGAAATGGCCTAAACATGGAAGATTCATTTTCTTCCAATCAATGTTCTCACCCACCACTAGAAATAGGAAATGTCTTAAATTTTTTTGACATATTAAATAAAATATTTATTACTACATTAATCTTCAATCAAAGGATAGTGATCATTGAAGCCTCAGTGTGTACCTATAGAAACTTATACTATTTTCTGCAGACTCCATATCTTTCTACCTATCAAAGAAGGATAAAAACTAAGAAAAAAGCAAAAGATGGTCTGTATGGTCCTTATTACCTGATGGTAAAGAACAGAGATTTTATGGGCGGTCTCATGTGCACATAACTCCAGGTTGCATCAAAGAAAGTTCTACACACCTTCAAGTTAAAGGATTGGTGGCTGGAAGTTCTATAAGGGCGTGGGAGGAGTCATATGGTATTGGGACATCCTAGTCAATGTTTCCATCCCAACGTTGTGTTCTTTCATTCCTATCCACCGAGCTTATTTCATTTGCTCCAGAATTTCAAGAAGGAATTACAGCTGGAAAATGTGTTTTTAAACCTATAGATTCTTCTGACTTTAGAACTGGTTGTTGTATTACCAGGAAAACATAAATGCAGATGTTGGGAAATGTCAAAAATCTTGTCAAGAGAATGGATTGTTTCGCACAGAACTGAGATGTGGCTTCTGATTCTGGTGACGCATTTGTTGCAAAGAAATGTGAATCCAGTACGTATGCCGACTAAAGATGTGGACCCAGAAGCGTTCATGAATATTGTAAGTTTGGATTTTCCATAAAGTGTTGGGGGGAATGGAGTGCCTTGCATGTTAATGTTTGCATATGTGTATTACCTGTATTATATGTTATATTTATATATGGTGCCGATTTTGCTAGCAGAGCAGTCATAAGTTAGCAAATTGTACTGGAAAGTGCTAAACTGAGTGTGAGTGGACTGGGTTCTCTGCAAACAAATTCAGTTGCCCTAAGTGAATGACTTAATCCCTTTGGGCTTTAAACACAATTTAACTTTTCTTGAATTCTTAGATTTATTCTATGAGCGGAGAAATCATGGCATTATCATCGGCCAAGCCCAGACCCTCCATTATTTCCATTTTGTCTATGCTTTTCATTCTTTTTAGACTTTCTCCCATATTAGAAAGGTGCTACCTCTCACTCCTTAGTATTGGGGCACTACTTCTAGTAGCATCCTGCACCAATCTAATGTATTCTGTTTTGTTTAGTTTGTTTTCTTAATTTATCTTTATTGTTGAAAGTAATTCTAATGTATTCTTGTCATTCTATTTTTGACTGATCACTGTTAACAGATAATAAATAAATGAACCCTAAAGATTGCTAAAGGGGATCTTCTGTGAATAAAATTTGTGAATGATGTGACATCTCTTTAGGTATACCAAATCTTTTTTTTTTTGGCCTACTTTCAAGTTCTTAGTTGTGTTTTAATAGTGTCTGCCATATCATAACACTTATTCCACAGCAGATCTTGTCATGAAAGCTGCAGAAATACTGGTTTCACTTAATCTTCACCGTCCTATACAATAGGTATGCTCATCCCCATTTTTCAAATTAAGGACTGAAATGAAAGAAGTTAAGCAACTTAAATGAGGCCACGCCACCAGTGAGTGGTAGAGCTATAATTTATAAGCAGGCCTGCCTGAACATATACTTGCAACCAGCATGCAATAACCCCTCCCAGGTGAGAAGTAGAAGCTACCTCTGGATGAATGGGATGCCTGTGTGCAGTGTTCATGATCCATGGATTTCTCATAGATTTAACTTGTCTTAATACAGATTTAAGGCCCTTGTTACAGAAGCTTCCTTTCAATGAATTATACAACTTTGACAGGTCATAGAAACATTTTGAATCTACAGAATGCCAAATATCAGGTTTCTTTTGTTCATTCTAAGGATTGACTGTCTTTTGGTGGTTTTTCCAGATTGTTAGCAAATTGGTGTAGATCCTTAGGAGCCATTTTCTGACCCTGAGAAGGTCCCACACCAATTCCTCTGGGTTACTGGGTGAAGGGAATCTCCTGAGCTAGGGGCAGAGCCAGTCTTCCTGAGCATCACCGACCGTGTGTGCACAGCACATGCACAGTATTGGAGCTTCAGGAGCCCTGAAACTAATATTTTTTGGATTGGATTCTGGCATTGAGCAGTTATGCATGGAGAGGCAAAGTAAAATAGGAAATTCATACGATAGTTGTTATAAATTAAATGAAATGGAATCATGTGGTTCGGGTCTGAATGGGTTTGACTATGTATACTGATTTATAGGGATATGATCTATCCTATATTTTGGTATAGAATTGACTTCATTTATGTATTTTCCTAGTAAGTGTTAACTGAACACTTATTAGGCCCTTGATAGTGTGCTATGCACTGAGGTGACAGAGAGATCTAAGAATATCAAAGCCCTTACTTCATGAAGCTTACAATCCAGTAGGGAAGGGAGACACTCCATTATTACTTACAAGGACAGTGAGATCAAAGAAGAAAACACAAAATAGGGAGAACCTAACCCCGGCAATTTAGGAAAGTTTTTCTGAAGAAAAGGTTTTTGAACCTGAAGTCTGAATGATAAATAGAAGTTAGTTAAAAGGGTGGAGGTGATTTGTAATGATTGTAGTAGCTAATGCTCATTTAGTACCTACTATATGCCAGGGTACCCAGTTAGTGTTATCTGTGCATTTCCATATTACATGTATTTTTTGGTGCATGTCCCTAGCGGGAACCGAACCCAGGACTCTCTGGTCCGCACGCCAACACTCCAACAGCTGAGCCAAACCGGCCAGGGCACCTTTTTACATTTCTTACAGTAAGTCCATGGAGTATAAATCATTGGTATACCTAATTCACAAATGAATAAACTGAAGAATGGGGATAGGTTAAGTAAATTTCCCACAGTCTTAAAGCTAGTTTGTGTTTTGGTGTTAGAGCCAGGACTGAAACTCAAGCAATAGGGCCCAGGGCCTTTCCCTTAACTAGTATGCCCTTTTGTCTTATATACTACAGTGGGCAGTTGGCACCGCGCTTTCTCCTCTTTTGTTCCTTTTAAAGCGGCAGCTGACAGAAATAATGCCCTCCTCTAGATGATGGCAACAGGCAAGAACAGTGAGAATACTTAGGAGACCTCTGTAGTTTTATATGTAATAACTGCATAGAATAGAGGTCCTTAACCAGGGGTCATACATAGGCAACAAAAACTTGAAAGCCCTCAAATTCATTGAAGGATTCTTGACCTAAAAATGTTAATGACTACTGCTCTTGAGTCTGTGGGTTTAGAGCCAAAAAGCAACGGAGAAAATGTACGGCCCAGTTGTTTTCATAAGACAAGTGCCCCCCATTGCTCCAGTGGCTGCATTAGAATTACCTGATCCCTGACCCAAAGCAGGTCCAGGTATTTGTATGTTTAAGCGCCCCAGACAATTCTGATGCACACCCAGGTTTTGGAATCAGTGTTCTGACCCAGTGGTTCTCAAACATTAGAGCTCATCAAAACTTCCTAACGAGCTTGTTAAAACATGAATTCCTGGCCTCATCCTCAGAATTACCAATTCAGTAGGTTTGAGTGGAAACTGATCATTTGTATTTGTAACAAGTGCCCAAGTGATGCTGATGTTTTTGGTCCAAGGTAGATACTTGGAAAACCACAGTTCTAGTCCCTTCTCTGCAGTAAAGATTTAAAAAATTAGAATTGCAGAAGGGCGGCCAATTTTTCTGAGAAAACATGATTAGCTAAAGTAAAGAAAGCCTTATGTTTATGTCTTCCAGCATCAAGAACTCTTTTTCTTTCTTTCTTTTTTTTTTACTTTGGGGTGATTGAGACTATAAGCCTTACAGAATTGAACTCAAAAGAAATTATGCTTTTTCTGTAGAGCGAAATCATCCAACATCAAGGCTATCCCTGTGAGGAATTTGAAGTCACAACAGAAGATGGGTATATCCTTTCTGTTAACAGAATTCCTCAAGGCCTAGCTCACTTTAAGAAGACAGGTATGGTTTACCCTATGTCACCCCAGCATGGCGTAATAACTTCCTACTGATTCAAGTATGTAAAAGGGAATCTGGGTTATGGGTATTGACTGGGGCTTATTGTTCAGGCCAAAAAATAATTTCATTTTCTCCATAATCCTCATCACCACACCTCCACCTCCAATTATCTCAAATAAATATAGTGTTTGCTTTTCAAAAAAATATATCTTCAAGAAAAGTCTATTTCTTGACCTCTTTTAGCAGTTAACCCATTTCCAAACCCCTCCTATATAGATGTTCTAGAATATCCATTGATGTTCTCTTGAAAAGACCAGGTCAATCACTGTACGCCCTACATTCCCCAACGAAACAGCATTTTAAATATCTAAGATGTTGCCCAGATTTTCACCGAGGTCTTCTGTACATTTTTAATTGTTGGTACATGTTTCCATAGTTTATATAACCCTCCCTTTTTTGCATATGAGATTTTCAGCAATTGCTGGCTTTTAAAATATTCACCTTCATTTCTCATTAAATTGTGCTCATTCTTCATCTCTATTTGGCGCTATTCTTTTTACTATTCTAGCTCTATGTCTATAGCAGCAATCACACTATCTGTCATGAGTCCAGATGATGTAATTTCTCATCGCGTTCTTTCTATATGCCAGGTAAAATGCTAAGGGCTTTATTTGCATTGGTCTCATGTAACTTTCACAATAAGTCTAAGAAACTGCCACTCACAGAGAGGTTAAGTAACCTGCCCCAAAAGTCTATGCAATGCTTGCTAGTATGTTGCGAAACCTGCATGAAAATAAAGATCTATGGGACACCATAGCTCTTGTTCCTGGACCAGGAAATGCTGTGCAAATGCCATCGGCATTTGGTATAAAGAAGCTTCGGGGTCCTGTTTTATTTTAATTTATACTTGTGTAGCCTTTTGTAAACCAGCTTTTTAAAAAATACCAGCGGCACAGCTGTACCTTATAGATGTCCAGCACTGTCCCACCTCAGTGCCTTTGAACTTACAGCTCTCCCCGTAGAACATTGTTTTATCAGATATCTACATTTTGCTCCAGCCCTTCTTTCAGACCCTCTCTATCACATTCTTTCCCTAATCACCCTATTCAATATGGCAACTCTTTGCCACCTTTTGAAGGCTAGCCCTTTATCCCTCTTAATTTTTCTTATAGCACTTAACACCACCAGATATGTAGATATTTTCTTGTGTGTGGATCTGTCTCCCCTCAACCAGAATAGAGACTCTTTGGGAGCAGGGACTTGACCTATTTTGATCAAGGCTATAACCAGTGCCTAAAAGAGTGCTAACCACATTGTAGGTACCAATAAGTATATGTGGAATGGATAAATTAATTTTCTATAAATAAATGAATAGCCCTGGCCGGTTTGGCTCAGCAGTTAGAGCGTCGGCCTGCGGTCCAGAGAGACCCGGGTTCGGTTCCCGCTAGGGGCATGTACCTCGGTTGCAGTTTGTCCCCGGCCCTGGTCGGTTGTGCGGGTGGCAGCCACTCGATGTGTCCCTTTCACATCGATGTTTCTCTCTCTCCCTCTCTTCCTCTCTCTCCCTCCCACTCTACCTAAATGGAAAATGTCCTCGGGTGAAGATAAAAATAAATAAATAACCTGGAGACACAGGTAACCTTTCACTAGCACCACAAATTTTTACGGGTAAACCAGGCACAGCTGTGCCAAGCAGTGCAGTGACTGTGTCAGCTCCTAAGCTCAGGGGAGATAGCTCGTGTGCGTGGGAATTCGTTTTCTCACCTTCTGCTTATTTGCATTGTTTACTCATTGCCCAAGGAAGAGCTTGGTGTTCCAGGTGTCAGCCTTTTTGGTCCAGTCGGTGCAGAATACTCCCCTCCGGTGGCTGATGTTGTTCCTGCAGCTTCCACTGGCCTCCAAAATGAGGAAATCTGTGAGCACTAAAGGAAAGCAAGATTTCCATCATCTCTTCAAAAAGACGGCCATTAAAATTCATACTGAAGACAACTAAACAATGTCTATAAGCGTGTGGCAAAAAGCCTCTGTAAAAATTTTTTTTTTTCAGATAGTCATTGTTAGCTTCAAACATTTACATCAACAGAGAAAGTAGGCTGGGCCATCCTAAAAAGTGACTGCTTTTTTAAGACTAGTCCTTACACATTCAACTATTGGCTCTAATTTAAGTGAAAGTTCATGACTGAGGATATTCAAAATGATACCGATCATTTATAAGTCGGTTCTCTCACTAAGTGATCCACAAGTACAAACTTCTCCAGCTAGAGCCAAGCTGGCCCCAGCCATGGGAAATGTCCTGAGAATTTCAAAGAGGAGCATTGATCCTCCTTGGTTTGATCACATCATATTGAGGTCACCCCCCTGGGGGCTAAGGGAATGAACTCGATGACCAGACATAAAGGAAAACCTGAAAATAACTCCATTCTGTTCTCCTGGTCCTGCCCTAGCAGCCCTCGTGGTCTTTCCCCAGAGGTATAAAATGAGGCAAATGGATTCACAAAGTTTGCTGTAGAAAGGCCTCTGTCTATAGGGAGACTGCACAGGGAATCAGTTCAATGAATACTCTACCATTTTATAAGAGGTCAGGAAGCATGCTGAATGCTGAATGCACAGTATCTCATTTAAACCTCAAACTCTGTGAGGTAGGCAGTGTATCATTGTTTTGTTAATTAGGACATTGGAGCTCAGAGAATAACTGCTTTTAAAAATTGTAGCACTGATAACAACAGCAAAGCTTCCCTTCACTACCATCTTCCTCTAAACCCAGTACATGGTGTGGACATTACATTCATGATCTGATCTAAGCCTCAAAAGTCCTATCAAGAGCATAATGTTTTTACCCTTTAAAGATGCAACATTTTATTACTCTTTTAGTGTTACCTGCCAGTGTAAAAAAATAATGTTTATCTTAATTTATTTATCATGTTAGAATTTCTCATGCCCTTAATTCTTTATCCCCTTACTGATATTTTTATAAATTGTATTTTAATATAATTTCAAATTTACAGAAAGTTTCCAAAAATTTTACAAGAAACTACCATATACCCTTCATCCTCATTTACCAGTTGTGAATTACATTGTGTCCCCAGTTACTTCCTCTCTGTTTCATTCTACTTTTTCAAATTTCTTTGACATTAAGTTTGAGACATCATGCCCAATAACCCCTAAATATTTCTTAATGTTGGGGAGGACAAAATAACTTTTTCTCCTGCTTGTCTTAGGTTCTCCAACTGGGGCCTTGAAAATTAGTCTAACAAAGGCATGATTGACAAGAGAGAAACAAGCGGAGGTTTATTAGCAAGGTATCACGCAGACACAGGGGAGCACACAGAGATGAGTACTCACAAGGGTGGTTAGATTTGGGGGCATTTATAACTGACTCAGTAAGGAAAAGAGAGAGGGAGAAAGAGCACCTATGGAGGGAGAGACGTTTTGGAAAGATATATGGCCCTTGGGGAAATAGATGGAAGATAAGATAGTTTGTGACAATGTTTGTCCAGTTGTGCTCACTTCTCCTCTCCTAAGATGAGAAGATTAGATTTGCTTCAGGGGAGGGAATATATGACAACTGATTTCTTTGGGGAGGCTCTGTTTTTAGGCAGACAAGGAATTTGAGGAACTCAAATGCTTCCAACACAAAATAATTCTTATTCTACAACTACATATTTGCAGGGGTTGGTGGTATCCTGATCCCCTTCACCCATACATTTATTAAAATTAGGAAATTTTTTAACTGATTGATTGATATTGGTATCTAATCCATAGTCCATGTTCAATTTTTGTTAATGTGCCAAAGTCATTTATAACCCCACCACCCCCTCCTGTTCTCCCCCAACCCTGGTCAATAAGCATCTAATCCAGTATCACACACCATATTTGGTTGTCTCTTTGTCTCCTTTCTAAGCTAAAAAATTCATCAGATTTTCTTTGGTATTCTTGACTTTGACATTTTTGAAGCATTTTGGACAGTTATGTTATACAATGTTCTTCATTTTGGCTTGTCTATTATATCTTCACAATGAGATTCAGGTTATACATTTTGGCAGGAATACCACAAAAAATGAAGTGGTGTCTGTCCCAGTGCAGCACATTATGAAGCACATGATAATGGCTTATTTCTATATTGGCAACATTAGCTTAAATTTTTTTGTGTCTTTCCTCAGCTTTAGTGATGTATAATTGACATGTATGCATTGTGCAATAATTATTTCAGGTTAATTAACACACCCATAGCCTCACATAGTTACCTTTTGTGTGTGTGTATGTGTGTGTGTGTGTGTGTGAGTGTGTGTGTGTGTGAGAGAGAGAGAGAGAGAAAGAGAGAGAGAGAATGAATTCTTAAGACGTACTCTCTTAGCAAATTGCAAGTATGCTACACAGTATTATTAACTATAGTTACCGTGCTATATATTGGAGCTCCAGACTTATTCATCTTATAGCTAAGACTTATATCCTTTGATCAGCATCTCCCCATTTCCTCCACCCATCAGTTCCTGGTAACTACTCTTCTACTCTGTTTCTATGAATTCAACTAATTTCACACATAAGTGACATCATACAGTATTTATCTTTCTCTGTCTAACTCATTTCTTTTAGCATAGTGCCCTCCAGGTTGTTCCATGTAGTTAAAAATGATATAATTCCCTTCTTTCTCATGGAGAAATAATAATAATAATTATATATATATATATATATATATATATATCTCCAAACCTAGATTCAGCTCCTTGTCACAATGGAAGCCAAACTCGTGAGACAGGTGTTGATGAGAAAGAAAAGAGGTTTATTCAAATGCCAGCATCTCTAGATGGGGAACTCCTGTCCTCAAAATTCTGTCTTTTTTATCTCAGGGCAGGCAGAGGCTTTTATGATGATGGAGAGGGAAAGCAGAACAAAGAGATCAGGGGAAGGAAAACGTAAATCACCACATCTCCTGAGAAAGGGGAGCACAGGAAAGGGAGGGGCTGAAGGAGGGCAAATCTGCAGCTTCTGGAGCTTCTCTCCCTCATTTCAGCACTCTTTCTCTCTCTTCAAACAGTAATTTGTAGATTTACTGTGGACATCTGTGGATTCTCACAGCTGGCATCAAGCAGTCCTTTCTCCCCTGAAGCAGACTTCTCTAAGCTGTAAAGAAAGGTTAGATAAGAACTGAAATAACAGGGTTTTATTTACACAGTCTAAGAAAACTGAAGGTTGGCCACAGTCTTAAGTAAATGCAGAATTCACATTATTTATTGCTTATTTAAAATGTGAAGTCAAGGTTTTATATATATATATCAAAATATATCACATCTTTATCCACATCTTCTTTATCTATTCGTCATTTGACAGACATTTAAATTGTTTCCATATCTTAGCTATTGTAAATAGTGCTGCAGTGAATGTGGGAGTCTATATACCTTTTTGAAATACTGATTTTGTTTACCTTGAATATACACCCAGAAGTGAGATTGCTGGGTCATATGAGAGTTCTGCTGTTAATTGTTTTTTGGAGGAGCCTCCATATTGTTTTCCCTAATGAATGTTTTCCCAATTTACTTTCCCATTTATAGTTACAAAAATCCCCTTTTCTACACATTCTCACCAACACTAGTTATCCCTTCTATTTGATAAAAGCCAAATGTGAGGTGTTCTCATTATGATTTTGATTTGCATTTTCCTGGTGAGTAGTGATGTTAAGTACCTTTTCTTGTACCAATTGGCTTTTTGTATGTCTTTTTTGGCAAAATGTTTATTCAGAAACTGCCCATTTTTAAGTTGAAGGGTTTGTCTTCTTGCTATTGAGTTGTATGAGTTCCTTATAGTTTTAGATATTAACCCCTTATCAGATATATGGTTTGTGAACATTTTCTTCTGTTTCATAGGTTGCCTTTTCACTCTGTATAGAAGCTTTTTAGTTTAATGTAGTAGCAATTGCTTATTTTTGCTCATGTTGTCTGTGCTTTTGGTATTATATCCAAAAAACATTGCCAAGACAAATGTCAAGGTGCTTTTCCCTATGTTTTATTCTAGTATAGAGGTCTTGTATTTCAGTATTTAATTCATTTTGAGTTATTATTTGTGAGTGGTGTAAGTTAGGGATTCAGTACTACTGGGTGATATTAACTTGGATCACTTTGTTAAGACTGTGTCTGCCACATTTTTCTATCATAGAATTACTATTCTTCCCTTTATAATTAATAAATACTTATGAAGAGATACTTTTGGGATATGTAAATATCCTGTGTCTCTTCTAACTTTATCCACTAATTTTAGTATCCATTGATAATTTTATAATGCCATTAAGTTTTTCTATATTTCTTGGCACTATATTGTAAATAAGAGCTTTTTTTCCTCCCCTAATTCTTTGTTTATTCATTTTTATTGATATCAATATTGACTCATGCATTCTTAATTTATTTAATAGGATTTTATTATCATTACTTATTTTCATGCTCAAATCCTCCCATGTTTAAACATTGGGAGTTCCTGCAAATGAAGCACCCATGGCCATTAAACCATTACATATATAGTATAGACAAATATATGTATGTGTTAATATTATAATATTAATAATTATAAATAATATATAATTATATACAGTATAATATTAATATATTAGGATATATAATATTTGTTTAATGTTTTTAAATCCTCATCCAAGGATATTTTTCCATCCATTTTCAAATACAGAGGTGGGGGGGAGAGAGAAAGAGAGAGACATTGATGTGAAATAGACACATTGATTGGTTGCCTCCTGCATGATCCCGACCAGGGCCAGGGGCGAAACTGCAACTGAGGTACATGCCTTTGACCAGAATTGAACTACGACTCTTCGGTCCGTGGGCTGATGCTCTAACCAGTGAGCCAAATCAGCCAGGGCAGAATATATAATATTTTTACATATACACATATTTATATTTATATATAATTAATATTATAATATCAATAATCATACATAGTATTTATATAATTATTTCTATCAAAACATTAATATATACACTTATAATTATATATAACATATAATGTATAACATTACTTATAACAAATAATATAGTAATGTAGTAATATATAATATAATATAAATATATAAAGCTATATTATATAATATAGTACTGTATTATATTACAATATATGCATAATATAAATACATAACAATTTTATTCTTATTAATATATAATAGATATGATTGTTATATATAATTATCTTAATTATTATGTTATACTACCTCCTAGGACACTTCAGTATCCTCTCAGGTGCCCAGACAAGTCTAGTAATAATAACTACACATAAACAACAATGGAAAATCAACTTTGATTCTTTTTCTGTGCCAGGCATTGTGCACTATTTCATTTAGTCATAAAAAAATTCTATTTTTCTGATGAGGAAATGAAGACACCTACCTATAGGTTAAGTAACTAACCAAGATAATCAAGCTAGAAAGCAGCTGAATCAACAATTGAACGCCTTTGCACATTAGGGGATAACAAGAAAGGTAGAGAACATTTCCCACAGTTGAAATTCTCTTTTGTGTAGGTTCCAAGCCTGTGGTGTTACTGCAGCACGGCCTGCTTGGAGATGCTAGCAACTGGATCTCCAACCTGCCCAACAACAGCCTGGGCTTCATTCTGGCAGACGCTGGTTTCGATGTGTGGCTGGGGAACAGCAGAGGAAACACCTGGTCTCAGAAACATGAGACCCTCTCCGTAGACCAAGATGAGTTCTGGGCTTTCAGGTATATAAAAATCTTGAGAGAGGAGGTGGACAAGGATGTCTTTGGAAGAACTGGGTAAAAATTTATGGCCTCTGGTGTTTGGGAAATTTACTTGGGCTCATCAATATCCAAATATGATATTCCCAAATTGTCTTAATTGACTAGTGATTCTTTTGGGGAAGTAGTGGGGAAAATTAACTTCCCCAAGGAGAAGACTGGGGCTGGTGAATGGAGTGAGAATGGTGGTCAGTGTCAGGTGATCGAGACTGAAATGAGAGAAGTGTATGTCCATTTCCTAGTAGATGGATGTCCTGGGACTAACTCTTGTGTGAATTATGACAAGGACTGGCACCCCCCAGAGAAGATGAGACCAGACAACAGTAAAGATATAAGAAAACTATTAAGACTTAGAGACTATCAATTCTACTAACACATCTCTCACAGTCTTACATAAGACTTTTAATAGTTTTATTTAAATTACCTGTGGACATTCAACTTGTTCTTTATCTGTTTCATCAGAGAAGGGGCCATAGCATCTTTAATACTCTTCCTATAAATGCATCTGCATGACCCTGTGCTGTTCTGCTAACAGAGTAACAGGACACCTCTCCTAGGAGGTGGGTCATGTGCTCAGGAAATATTCATTAAAGATTATTATTAGTAGTAACATCTGCAGAAAATAGTAGTTTGCTAACAGCCTGTGACCTCAGAGGCACCCATGCATCACAGGTTTGAAACAATTTCGTTGTGAGTGTTGTAAGGGGCACAGTAACAAGCTCTTGGGTTTGTTTGTAAATGCTGGGGGCTGTTTCTGCTTGTTTCTGATTATAATTTTTCATATAACTTTGTCTTTTCCTCTTGTAGTTATGATGAGATGGCTAGGTTTGACCTTCCTGCAGTCATAAACTTTATTTTGCAGAAAACGGGCCAGGAAAAGATCTATTATGTCGGCTATTCACAGGGCACCACTATCGGTAGGTTCAAAGGAAAACAGGTTTGTATACTCAGAAGAAATGTGAGCATGTGGTGTACAGCTATGCCTGGAATAAGTCATCTCACACTTCAAATGGAAGTGCAACTGAGGGGGGCCTCTGGAGGCAGAGCAAAGCCTTTGAGTCAGACTGATATGTATTCAAATGTTGGCTCTACCACCTCTTAGATGAATTATTTAACCCTTCTGGCCTCAGTTTCCACATCTATAAAATGGGGACAATAGCTCCCTCTTAGGGATGTTAGAGATGATGGACTATTCAACATGGTGATTTATATAAGCTCTGCGAAGGCAAGGATTTTGTCTAAAACACAGCTGTGAGAGCAGTTCCTGACCCATAGTATGCTCTCAGTAAATGCACTGAGGTCAAATGAATGAAACCCTGAGGTCAGTGTCTGCCACATAATAGGCAATCAATAAAAACTAAGCATTGTCATCATACTATACACAGCACTGATGGGGGTTGACTCAAGTCTCTCTTTTTTCCTTCTAACGCCAATGTATGCAATTACATGCTAGTGTCCTTTTGCTTTAGATGAATTTGTGAGAAACTCATGGCCCCAGAGGATACAGATCACCCACTTGGGAAGATAGGAGTGGAGGCTGGCTATCCTGGCCCTGCATTAGACCCAAGTCAACAGGAAAAATGTGTTTGGCTTAGATGAGAAGAAAGGCAGATCAGGAGAGGCACAAGTATGTGCCATGAGAAGAAGGTTCTCGAGAGGGGGCTGAAAGGACCTGTCTACCTTCACCCTGAGCCAAACCCAAAGTTGAAGACTAGGGTAAGGGATTCTAAGGACTCACAGGAACTCAGGGTACAATTTTAGTTGGTTCATTTTTAATTAATGCTCTAGCGAATTTCACATTTTCCTTTCTGGATTTTTCAGTAACATTAACTGACCTTAATGATGCAATGTCTCAGCATGTACTTCACAGAAAGAAAGTTCAAGTCTTATGTCTGCTTCTACTCTGATTCCCAGAGGTCTTAAAGTTTTTTTCTATACTAAAATTGTTCAACATGATCTGAAGACAAAGGTTACTCTAAGAAGATGTCAGTGGCAAAAAAAAAAAGCACAAGATTATTATGTTAGTCAACCAGCTATTAATATAGAGAACTTGAACCTGTGTTACATAAAGAGAGGTATTGATGGGAGAAGTTATCTAGAGTTCCCAGGATTGACATTTGAGGGGAGTTCTATGTAGTTAGAATTAAGCTGAATATAGTAATGCATTTTAAAGTATTTTCAACCCAATCATACTGATGGCACAGTTGGGAGAGCAAGAACTAATAGGTCACTCTCCTGCCTGCCTTTGCTCATGGCTGGCAAACCTACTCACATGAAGAGAAAAGAAGGGAAAGAATCAGTCTTGTTTGATACTCACTCACCTTCTGGGAACTAGACAGAAGTCATGTGATACCAGTGTGTTCTGTTTGTTTGTTTTCTACCCAGCTTCCGTCTCCCCAAACTGCAAACATCAGCCTAGACAGAGTGTACAGGCTCTTTTGAAATAGACACATAATATTTCCAGTGACCATACCTTGGCTTTATACAATAGCCTTTTTCTTCCACATGCTCCACACAAATAATCCCTGTACAGTGGTGATTTGGGGAATTTGACTCCATTTTACAGGTATAGAAACGGAGGCACAGACTGACTTAACTAGTGTCCCATAACAAGTTTATGGCAAAAATAAGAGTTGGAATCTGGTTCACTAGACAACTTGTCTTCTATGTTTCATTACAAGTTGCATTCCAAAACATGTAGGGATCAAAAAAACCCCAGCAAAACCTTGCTATATCCATTATTTTACAGAACATGCTTATTATCAATAAAGAAGGCAATTTCTCTAATTCTCTCTCTTTTTTTACTGTAGAGATTTATTAAAAATACTTCATAAAAGTTTGAGAATTAAGTGAGGTAAGAACCATGAAAATCACCAGCAAAGTGTCTGGCATATAGTTAACCTCTCAATATATATGTTCTCAAAGACCACATTCTTGGACTCAATAATTTAATTCAACAATTAAATGAGAACCTACTACTGGACATCAAATAAGCTAGATGTCAGAGTGAACACAAAGGAGTTTTTACTGCTGCTGTTTTTTTTACCCCTCAAGGAACTTATAATTTCATGGAAGAGTTAAGACACAATCACAAATAATTACTGAAATAGCTTGACAAAAGTAAAATGAGCATTTTATGAGTTCCAGGATATTCAGTATCCACGCTGACATATTTCTTCTCTTGCAGGCTTTATTGCATTTTCCACCATGCCAGAGTTGGCTCAGAAAATAAAAATGTATTTTGCCTTAGCACCCATAGCTACTATTAAACATGCAAAAAGCCCTGGGACCAAATTTTTGTTGCTGCCACATATGATGATCAAGGTATGTGACCCCTCAGCAAATTCCTTGTCTGTGTACGAGAATCCCGCCCCGTAAGGTAAGATTTAGACTTGTCAATCAGAGCCACTTCTGTTTAACTGTAATGTAATGACTACTATCTTGTTTCTTATTTTTACAGGGATTGTTTGGCAGGAAAGAATTTCTGTACCAGACCAGATTCCTCCGCCAATTTTATATTTACCTTTGTGGCCAGATGATTATCGATCAGATTTGTAGCAGTATTATTTTACTCCTGGGAGGATTTAACACCCAAAACATGAACATGGTAAGTGGGAACATAGTAAATTCTCAGTTTCCCAAAGCAAAACTAGAAGTTATTAGTCTCCCTCTTTGAAGGTGAGCTATTGCTAGTAAGGACTTAGAGAAATGTAATCTTAGCAATTCTGTTTTCTCCAAATTATACTAATATGTAGAAAATGCTTTAACATGGGTTGAGGTTGGGTTAATTAACCTAAGGGCATTGTTAGATATTAACTTCACAGAAGGGATATGAAAGCAGCTTTGTGTAGTGAATTAACAGATGAAAAAAGTGATTAGAACCCAGTGGTCAAAAGAGAGAACTGTCATGCAGTATCCACCTCATCTTTCTGCTTCTTGGGTCCTTCCGGTTTATAGTTTAAGTCCTTTGATAGGATGTCTGGGAGTTTCAATTTGGCTTAGGCATAGGTACCAGTTGATGGGTTGACACCGTGTGGGTTCCCAGTAAGCATACTCTGAGATGGAGATTAGTGGGCAGCTGTAATGCACTCTTAATGGGAACTTTGGTTGAATCTACAGGAATTTTAAAGATGAGATGACCCTTCCGAGATTATCCTAAGTGAGGGTGAGAGGTCTTGAGAGGGCTGTTTTTTTGTTTTGTTTTGTTTTGTTTTTATCCTCACCCGAAGACATTATTGCATTTATCTTCAGATAGAGCAGGGAGGGAGACGGGGAGGGAGAGAGAGAGAGAGAATCATCAATACAAGAGAGACACATCAAGTGGTTGCACCCACACGACCCCAACCAGGACCGGGGACAAACTGCAATCGAGGTACATGCCCTTAGTGGGAACCGAACCTGGGACTCTCGGGTCCGCAGGCCGATGCTCTAACCATTGTGCACCCAGCCAGGGAGAGGGCTGGTTTTTTATACCCTACACCAGCCAGTCATTTAATGCAGATGATGCCAATACTGGGTGATACACTGGGCAAGACAGCTCTCTGCACCTGGGACATTCCCCCAAGGAGGACCCACAGCAGAGAGCTCTGGGCCAGCAGCATCCCTGGCAGCTGGAAGAACACAACTTTAATTCCTAAAGAGCCTTTTTCTTCTTTTTAAAAAATAATATGATTAATAGCTACCATTTGATAAGCATTTATTATTGCCAGGTTAATAATCCTATGAGACAGATACTATCAATTTTCCCACTATACAGCTTAGTAGCTGAGATTTAGTGGATTAAATAACTCCCATAACCACCTAAAGATTAAATGTCAGAGCTATGATTTGAATATAGGCCAGTTCTAGAGCCGTCATCCTTAATTACCATAGTAAGATTTAAGAAAAAAAAAAGTTCAAATATCTAATGGTAAGCCATCCTCAGATGAAAAATATAGTGCCCAAGGGATACATTTAATGGCATGTTTGTTTATGTGCGTGTGTATATTACTGTTTCATAGATAACTGTTGATAGTTGAATGATGTTCCCATTTCTTAGTGTGACACCTGGAGATTTGATCTTGACAAAGTGCATATCTTGTGAGTTTTTCCATGTCCCACAAACCACTCATGCTTTGTTACAGAGCCGAGCAAATGTATATGTCGCTCATTCTCTGGCCGGGACGTCTGTGCAAAACATCCTCCACTGGAGCCAGGTGAGAAAGTTGAATTTGTAGTTTTCCGAGTGTCTTTGTGCATTTTGTCTGGAATAGTCAAAGAATGTCCTGTTGACAGACCAGGGGTTATTTCACATTTATTACATGATGAAATGTGATCTAGAACATTGACACTGTTCAGGAGATGGGAGGAAAGGAATAGCCCACAGACATCTTTGGTGGACCTTAAAAATGTGAATTCAGATGGTCCCAGTGACACTTTCTCTGTCTCTAGCTACCTCAAAAGGAGGCTGAAGAAGGTAATATTTGGCTTGTCCAGCAGCACAGTCAAGTAGTTACAAAATGCTAAGGCAGAAGCTAATTACCCAAAGGGGTTTCACAGGAGGGAAAGACCACACACTACCCCGGCAACACAGGAGGGAAAGGCTCAATCACAGTCACGGAAGGCAGGGCTGAAGTATGACATTCAGAACCGAGTCAAGGACAATGTGAGTGCTAATTATTCTTTCACAATCGAAGAAGCACTGAATCTAATAATATTACAAGGTTCCCATTAAGAGTCCCATGGACTGAGAGGTCCTAGTTCCATTCCTGGTCAGGACACATGCCTGAGTTGTGGGTTTGATCTCCAATGGGGGGCATGCAGAAGGCAGCCAATGGATGTTTTTCTCTCACATCGATGTTTCTATTTCTCTCTCCCTAAAAAAATCCACAAAAACATATTTTTATTTATTTTTCTGGGGGCATAAAAACATATTTTTAAAAATACCACTTTGTTTTTTTAAAAATGGGGACTCTTAACTCAAGCAGAGAGTTTTAAGAACAGTGATAGTATCTATAAATCATAAATATTGGTCCTATCCGTTCTCTGTTTTTCTAGCAATTTAGAATCTAGTGAAATTGTTCTTGTATGGTCATTGGGGGGTGTGTGTGTGTGTGTGTGTGTGTGTGTGTGTGTGTGTGTGTAGAAAGAGGAGAGAGAGAGAGAGAGAGAGAGAGAGAGAGAGAGAGAGAGAGAGAGAGATTATAATTAAAACGAAAGACTTCTGAATTGGAGTAAGTGTTGGTCACCGTCTCCCGGAGTCACCAGGGGGAGCTCTCCCTTGTAGCTTACATGGTTATGCAGAAAACCCCTCTAAGCCAACTTCTGTGGGGATGCCCTCCCCGGAGCTGTGTAACACGGTGGCCAAGTATTTCTGCAGTACATGAAGGGTACATGAAGGGGTCTTCCTCCTGGCCTTCGTGCTTTCCTGAAGGTTATCCCAACGCTGAATGAAGCCAGCCTCAGCCTTTGCTCTCTGCTGCCCCCGAGCTGCAGACTTGGTACCACACACACAAACACCCCACCGCTGGTATCCAGCCATCCTTCAGAATGCCATGCACATTTTTGTTTCCTTTTAGGCAGCGAATTCTGGGGAACTCCGGGCGTTTGACTGGGGGAGCGAGACCAAAAATCTGGAGAAAGGCAATCAGGTAAGAAAATCAATGCCACCCTTTTAAAGTGCAGGTGAGGAAAGTTCTACTGGCAGTTTATGTAGAGATCGGAATAAAATACGAGAATGTGAGTGGAAAATAATAGTTTGGGCTTGACATCATTTGCAAATGGGCAAGTTCACAGCTTAGCCACAGCTTAGCTTTTGCAGTGGCGGGGGAGAACGTTTTTGAAAGGCTGTTTTCATGAAGGAGGCACTGGGCTTCTTAGGAGCAAGGTGGGGAGGGGAAGTGTGTGGTTTGTGGCGGCTACTACTCGAAGAATCCTTTTTTGGATCAAAAAACAAAACAAAAATACCAATGAGAAATGCAGGGGTGAGGTTGTTTCATGGTACAATACAAAGAACATGAACTTGTGGTTGACAGAGATAGGGGTGAGGGTGCGATGTGGGTGAAGGGTCAAAGGGTACAAACTTCAGTTATAATATAAATAAGTCATCAGATATAATGTATAGCATGGTGACGATAGTTGATAATGCTGTATTACATGGTATTTGAAAGTTGCTGAGAATAGATTTTTAAAGTTACTATTACCAGCAAAAAAATTTTAACTATGTGTGGGGATGGATGTTAACTAAACTTACTGTGATAATCATTCCACAATACAATGCAATCTTATAACTCAATTATAAAAAACAAACCAAACCAAAACTGGCTGCATAAAGAAAAAGAATTGATTGGCAAGTGAGGATACTGTTTGTCTTGCCTCTATGTGATCAACCTTTGTGATCATGGATAAGCCGCTTTGATTCTTCAGGCCTCAATTTCTTTATCTTTAAAAAGTATTGGACTAGAGCATCACTTGTGATGATTCTGTGATTTGGAAGTAAAAAAAAAAAATTTTTTTTATCCCCACCCGAGGATATTTTTTTCATTTTTTGTTCAGATAGAGTGGGAGGGAGAGAGAGAGAGAGAAACATCGACGTGAAAGAGACACATCGAGTGGTTGCCACCTGTATGACCCAACCAGGGCCGGGGACAAACTGCAACCAAGATATGTGCCCTTAGCGGGAACTGAACCCAGGTTTCTCTGGACCGCAGGCCGATGCTCTAACCTCTGAGCCAAACCGGCCAGGGTGTGAGTAAAAAATACTTTTTAAAATGTTATTATATTCCCTAAGAAAATGTCTAGTCAATGCTATAGAATAAAAATAAAAACAAATGTATAGAATCAGAAGTAGATTTTATACTCTTCTGAGCATAAACTCTTCACTGAAGATTATTAATTAGCTCGTATGTGAATGTAAACATTGACCATACACATTTAAAGCTGGAGAAAGCAGAATAGACACAGCAAGTCTTTGACAGTCTCATATCACATGTAACATCCATTTCTGTACAAGTCTAGATACAAAAGGCTAGGGAATCGGACAGACTGTAGTGCCCACGAATAGCAAACTCTCCATCAAAGGTATCTGCTCCTCCTTTTTTTTAAATCCCGTCTTCACTGTTTCCTGAAGCATTTTTTTTTTTTTTTGGTACGTGCCCCTAGTGGGAACCGAACCCGGGACTCTCTGGTCCGCAGGCCAACGCTCCAACCGCTGAGCCAAACTGTCAGGGCCCTAAAGCATTTCTTTAAAGAAAGCATTCCAGTTCCAAAATCATTTTAATTTTTCAACATTTAATGTCTTGAATGCTAGAAGAATCACTCATGCAAAGTAGGCACCAGAAAATGGTCTGGTGGTGGGAAGGAAGAGAAAACACACATACAAAAAGGTGTCATAGAATCACAGAAACTTAGCATTGGCCTGAATTCAATTCAGTCTTTTTACCTGTAATATGATTTAAAAAAACAAACAAAAAACATTACTGGTTCCATAGAATGTTCCAACCTTTTTTATCTAAGTTAGGCTGTAAAAGGTGATTCTGATGATCAAATTCTGATGTTTGTGCGTAGGAAGTTTTTCCACACCAACAAGCAATTCCCTGAACACCAGCTGGGTGTCCTACAATTTAACTCAATTCTGAGATAGTGTCGGATCCTACAGGTAAAGTGCCCACTTCAGATGTTAATCACAGATCCAGGTTGTTACCTGGACTTCTGACTAACTGGCTATAAATCAGAGGTTCCCATGACAACCTCCTCTGGCTTGATTAATTAGCTAGATTGGCTCACAGAACTCAGAGAAACATTTTGCTTACTAGATAATCAGTTTATTATAAAAGGCCAGATGGAAGAGAGGCCTGGGGCAAGGTGCATGGGAAGGGGCACAGAGCTGCCATGCCCTCTCCAGGCACATGATTCTCCCCATATCTCCACTTGGTCACCAAGCTGGAAGCTCTCTAAAGCCTGTGCTTTCTGGATTTTTACGGAGGCTTCAGTACATAGGTGTGATTGACTAAAACATTAGCCATTGGCAACTGAACCCAACCTTCAGCCCCTCTCCCTTCCCAAGAGGTATGGAGGTGTGGGACAGGAAGTCCCAATCATCTAATCACATGCTTAACTAGATGCCTCCATCTGGTTCCAAGGCACCTCATTAATATAACAAAAGACACCTTTATGGCTCTCATCACTTAGTAAATTCTAAGGGTGTGTTTTTTTGGGGGGTGGGGAGCTGGTGATGACCAAAACAATGGAAGTTTATCCTTTCACAGTTGTGGAGGCCAGAAGTCTAAAATCGGGGTTTGGACAGGGTGGGTTCCTTGGAGTCTCTGAGAGTCTGTCCCAGGCCTCATGCCTCCCTCCTAGTTTCTGGTGGTTGCTGGTCTGTGGATGCATCGCTCCGATCTCAGCCTCTGCCTACATGGCCATGGCATTCCCCTGCCTTCTGCTCTTTCCTTAGCAGAACACTTGCCATTTGACTGAGGGCCACCCTAACCAAGTGTGATCTCATCTCAAGATCCTTAACTAAGGGCTTGAGGAGCTCTGCGCCAGAAATGGGGATGAAGAGCAAGTATATATTTGTTATTGTAAATTACAATATCACAAGCTACAACTCCAAATTTTTAGAAAGTCACAAAATGCAAAGACTGCCTGGATTGGAACCTTGGCTCCAGGGTAGGTTTTCTAAGTAAGAAATGGGCCCCAGCATTTCTGTGGGAAGTTCTGGGTGCTGATTAACCTCAAGGGCTCAGCCAGCCAGTCTGATTACATAGCACCACTTGAATAAGAGAAGTTCTCAAGAATTAAGAATCCTAGACACCCTTCCTTGGGTGATGGGGGACTAGAGCAGGGATCTAACTTATACCTTCCCTTGGTTCAAACTACCTGAGTTCCAGTGGCTCTTACCTCCCCGTGTTTTTGGAGACCGTCAACCTGGGCCTGTTTCAAGGACTTTCTGCCATAGAAAATCTCTGTGAAGACTCAGAGCAGAGGCCTTCTCAGTAGGTTTCTTTCTCTTGCCTTTCTCTATAGAATACTGCTAACTCTGGCCTCATGAGAAGTTTGTGAAATTCTTTCCAAGGTAATTTATGTGTAAAATATTTATTTATAGGAAGAAAAGGAATTAAAAATGAATGCTTGAAGTGCTAGGCAATTTACATGTTTTCTAATTTAACCTAGTTAAGAGATTGCAGATCTCTCCATTTCACAGTTGAAGAAACAGGTTCAATGAGGTTTAGTACTTTTACCTCCAAGTAGGGCTGGAACAGAAACTCGAAGTGCAGATCTGCTTGGCTCCAGTGCTCGTGCATTTTTCATCACAGCACACGTCTGATTTAGTGTGTTTATCCGAAATGTAAATTATGAGCTTGGAAGTCCAAATGTAATCTACAGTTAGGATTTTTTTTTTCCCCTAGCCAACTCCTGTAAGGTACAAAGTTGGAGACATGACAGTCCCTATAGCAATGTGGACGGGAGGTCAGGACTGGCTTTCAAATCCAGATGACGTGAAAGCACTGCTCTCCGAAGTGAACAACCTCATCTACCACAAGAACATTCCCGAATGGGCGCATGTGGATTTCATCTGGGGTTTGGATGCTCCTCATCGTCTGTACAATGAGATCATTCATCTGATGAAAGAGGAGGAGACCAGTCTTTCCCAGGGAGTGTGTGAGCTCAGACTGTGAAGCATCCGACACTGACAAGTCTTAGGAAAACCTTGTGGATGATGGGGCTGAGATCCATGAAGAGAGGATTTTAAGAATCTCCAGGACTGGAAACCTATCCTATCAGTAGAAGGGAGGTGAAGAAGGGAAGGCAGAGATTTACTATATATTCCTTCAGATCTCCTGCATTTGGCACTGAAACCGACAGGAAACTTTTTTAGTTAATTAAACTACTCATTGGCTGAACATGTTTCATGTGCTATTATATATCCTGCCATCTTGAAGGGTAGGTTTTATCTGAGAGCTAGAAATCATCAAGGCATCCTCTATGTCATGCAGGTAAACGTCCCTAACACTGTATTTATTTTTCTACAAGCCATAGTTTTGGAGCAATAAAATAAAGTGACAAATTGGGATGAGAATGAGGTCTTGAATCTCTGGATTGTTGTTGAATTTCACAAAATAAACTAGGTATTTTCTCCATATTGCCATAGAGATATAACACTACCTCAGAAAGCCAGTTTAACCAAACAACAGATTAAAAAAGTAAACAAACAAAAACAAAATAAATCAATGTAGAGCATGGATAAAATATATGTTGAGCATCTTCAAAAGGGCCAAGTTTTAGAGGAGATACTTTTGTAGAATTTTTATGAGTTTTCCAATAAATGCTTTGTGGTTTCCACAAAGCATGTATGTGTATTTCAGTACCTAGATGCCAGTCCAAGCTTGTTTGAGAGTTGCTGGAAGGCCTATTGGCTAGAACTGTCTGACCCAGTTTTCTGCCTCCATAAATTATAAGCTAGGAAGAAAATTTTGTCATGTTCTGAACGTAATAAAACACTTTGTCAGCTATTTTATCCTTTGATCTTGACAAAGTTACTGTTAAACAATTCCTCAGCTCACTAAAAAATCTGGTTATTTCTTTTAATAATTTTTCACTTTGCACACAGTTTCAAAGATGACAGCTATAAATTACATGAGTAATAGTATAATTTTGCACAACTCTGGAACCAATAGCACAATTTTGAGAACTTCTAAATTGGAGGTATACTGGTGTGTGTCAAAGGTATGTTGAGCCCTGGCCGGTTTGGCTCAGTGGTTAGAGCATCAGCCTGTGGTCCACGGAGACCCGGGTTTGATTCCTGCTAAGGGCATGTACCTTGGCTGCAGTTTGTCCCTGGCCCTGGTGTGGGTGGCAGCCACTCCATGTGTCCCTTTCAAGTTGATGTTTCTCTCTTTCTTCCTCTCTCCCTCCCGCTCTATCTGAATAATAAATGGAAAAATGTCCTCAGGTGAGGATAAAAAAAAAAAAAAGGTACATTGATGTGTGACGTTCACTTTTTTCAATCTTCTAAAGTCACCTGGTCACTCAGTACAGTGTGAATGGATGTTCAATAATCTATTAAGAGACACTTAAGGGCTTTAGAGTCTGTATCTACACTCTATTCCTCTCACACAATGTGTGCCTTAAGGCTCTGTACAGAGATCAGTAAATATTCCTGGATTTTTATTAGAACTTTGTGGTTTTTTTTCAAGGATGACAAATCTTTTATTCTTAGACATATTTGTTATCACACATTGTGTGGCTTCATTTATATCTAAAGATATTAATAATTCAGGCTTGCTTTGTAAAGTTTAAAATCTCTGTCTCACTGACAAAGGACCAGGGAAGATATTTTTATATTCTATCTCTCATCTAAAAGTATAATCCAGGTCAGGAAGTCTTTTCTACCCAGCCCTGTCTCTCAGTATTTATTGGTTTTATAGTGATGACCAGCCAAACTTGGATTTTTCAGTAACACTAGAGACAGGGGGAGAGAGAGACATCGATGAGAGACTTCCGGTCAAGATGGCAGCGTAGGTAAACATGGTATCGCGTCCTCCCACAACCACATCAGAGTTACAACTAAACTACAGAACAACCATCATTCAAAACTGCCTGAAACTGAGCTGAATGGAAGTCCTACAACTACGGAATTAAAGCAGCAGCCACATCCAGACTGGTAGGAGGGGCGGAGGCACGACACCCACGTGTGGCGGATAAAAATCAGGAGGACACTTCGGCTGGGAAGGTCCTCCCTGAGGACTGAGGGGTCCCCGTCCCACACCAGGTGCCCTGCTCAGGGTTCCAGTGCCAGGCAGAGAAAGTCCCCATAACTTCTGGCTGGAAAAACCAGTGGGAACTGAGGCTCAGGGAAGCTGGTGGCTGGAGCCCCAGGCAGCTCCTCAAAGGGCCCACACAAGGACTTACTCGGACTTTCTCCCTCTCGGCTTGGAGGGGAGGCAGCTTGAGGGGCACCAGAGACATACAGGGAAGAACTGAGCTGTTTGGCACTGGAGCGAGGGCTGGAGAGGGGGCTTTCTCTGGGACAGAGGCCTTTGTTCCTTTGGTGAGCCCTTCCCTGGGGTGGCAGACAGCCATCATATCAGGGACTCCAGCAACATGGCTCACACTGGTTGCCCCGACCTGATGATTCCCTGAGGCCCTGCCCCACCCAACTTTCAGGCCCACCCAAGCTGTTGCCAGTTGCTTAATCATAGGATTGGCCTGTCTTGGATCCTTCTTCAGGTTTTCCTAAATTCTTTCAAACAAGCAGCCTCTGGTCTCAGCTAGCCCCATACCTCTCATTAAGTAATTCACAGAAACAAACACAGGGAGGCAGCCAAAATGAGGCGACAAAGAAACAGGTCCCAAATGAAAGAACAGAACAAAACCCCAGGAAAAGAACTAAGTGAAATGGAGATAAGCAACCTAACAGATGCTGAGTTCAAAACACTGCTTATAAGGATGCTCAATGGACTTAGTGAGAACCTCAGCAAATTTAGTGAGGGCCTCAAGAACGTAAAATCAGACCAGTCAGAAATGAAGGAGGCACTGACTGAAATAAAGTATAACTTACACAGATTCAATAGTAGAGTAGGTAAAGCCAAGAAGCAAACCATCAATTTGGAATATAAGGAAGCAAAAAACACCCAATCAGAACAGCAAAAAGAATCTAAAAACATGAGGATAGTTTAAGGAGCCTCTGGGACAACTTCAAGCATGCCAACATTCGCATCTTAGGGGTGCCAGAAGGAGAAGAGAGAGAATGAGAAATTGAAAACCTATTTGAAACAATAATGGCAGTAAACTTCCCTAACTTGGTGAAGGAAACAGACATACAAGTCCAGGAAGCACAGAGAGTCCCAAACAAGATGAACCCCCAAGAGGCCCATACCAAGACACATCATCATCAAAATGCAAAAGGTTCAAAACAAAGAGAGACTCTTAAAAGCAGCAAGAGAAAAGCAGTTAGTTACCTACAAGAGAGTTCCCATAAGACTGTCAGCTGATTTCTCAAAAGAAACTTTGCAGGCCAGAAGGGAGTGGCAAGAAATATTCAGAGTGATGAAAAGCAAGAACCTACAACCAAGATGACTCTATCCTGCAAAGCTGTCATTTAGAATCAATAGCCATATAAAGACTTTCCCAGACAAGGAAAAGCTCAAGGAGTTCATCACCACCAAACCGTTATTATATGAGATGTTGAAGGATCTTCTTGAAGAAAAAGATAAAAAATATGAACAAACAAAATGGCAATGAATACATATCTATCGACAATTGAATCTACAAACAAAATGAACAGGAAGAACAGAAACATTCTCATAAATACAGAGAACATTTTGTTGGTTGTCAGATGGAAGGGGATTTGGGGGAATGGATGAAAAAGGTGAAGCAATTAAGAAGTACAAATTGGTTGCGAGACTGACAAACCTCAAAGGGAAGGGGGGGTTGGGGGGGTGGGACAAAATAAATCAAAGAACTTACATGCATATATGCATAACCAATGGACACAGACAACAGTGTGGGGAAAGGCAGGAGGGGGTCGGGGGTGGGGAGGAGGGGGTCAATGGGGGGAAAATGAGAAACATCTGTAATACATTCAACAATAAAGATTTTAAAAAAGTAATAAAAGTATAATCCAGATACTACCTCATCATATAGCTCTCTTATATTTTTTCAATAAAAATAAACAGAACTAATAAGTTCAGCAGCTGCCTTATATTCTCAAGAGAATCAAAGACATTTTTAAACAAACATCTTGATAGTTCTAGTTCAAAATCAAGATGGCTTTTATTTTTGTAAACTGACAGCAAATGTTTAGCAGTGTGCTGGTAACTGGTTCTCCAGAAAGAAAAAAGAAAACTTGATTTCAGCACTTGTCCATATCTGTGATGTAAAGCTGTCACTGCTGACAATTGGTAGATGCTTTTGTTGAAGTTGTTTTGACAAAGGAACATTTACACGTGCATCTTGCAACCAAACACATACACACGCCGTGCTATGCAAATGTACGTGCTCCCATTCTCCTTGCTACTTAAAGGCGCCTGAGAGCGGCAGTGTCTCCTGGGGCGTGATACGGACAGGAGCCTCTTGTAAGAGCAGGCAGCTGGTCTTCTTTGGGAGAGACTGAGTTTGAAGCATCGCCCTTTTGACTGGAGTGGAGAATCCAACAGCTTTAGTGTTTCCCCTAGAAGGATTAGGGCCATGGGGAGCTTCATGGAGCAACAACATGACCACAGAGCTCTTCAAAAACATTACCCATGGCAGGAATCCTTATCCCCATAAAATGGCAGCATCCAGTTGAGTGGCCCACAGACCAATAATCCAAGATGCACACAGAATCCCGTCCTTTAACTTTTTCTATTTCTGCATCCGAGGCCACAAGGATTATGATGCTTTCCTTAGCATTAATTCAATCTGGGAAAATTTTAATCTCCGTGCAATATCCAGGGAACTCTCACCATGCTGGAGAGAAAAGAAATGAAAAGTTATTTATCTATAATAGAATCAAATGTCCGTGCAAAGGGACCAGTAAACTGTTTAGACTGATTGACTCTCAGGTTTGGCAAAGGCTTTAAAAGTTATTAAGTCCTAACAGTAATAGGATAACTTAATTCTTTAATGAGGATGATTCATTTTGCTGTTTACAGCAGAGGCAATTCAACGCACTGCCAAAGTTAGAAGATCACGTTGGTGCCTCAGGCCATGGTCCACAGATTCTTACCTTATTTCTTATCGTGGGGTCTGCATGGACCTCAAGGAGCAGAGGAATCAGAGTCTGGTTTTTCATTTCGCAGGCGTAGTGTAACGCGGTGCAGCCATACTGAAACACAGAGGACGGACACTGTGGCTCACCCACCAGACTCCACAGACTCCACAGACTGTAGCATGAGGCGTCTCAGCAAGCGCCCTTCACATATTGTAGTGCACAACCAAGCAAAGCAGTCTGCAGCCATTGATGTGCAACTATATTGCTTGTTCTTAAAGTCCCTTCTGCCTCAACATGTGCATTATTAATGTTCTATGTCATTAATATCTTCCTTTCTTATCATCTATTCCAAACTAAGAAAAATGCAACTTATAAAAAGCTGATGCTGACCTATCTATCCCAAGGTTTCTTTGTAGAATTCTGTGTGTGTGGCCAGTCAGCACCTTGCTCGTGTTACCATCCTTTCCCTCAGAGCCTCCACGTGGGCCATTTTGCAGGTATCATCCTCTCCGGTTCTTGATCAAAAATCCCACAGTCTGAAGAAGGTGGCTGGTGCTCATATTTTCGCGGCACACCTATGAGACCAGTGCAGTGTGACATAGAAGTCTCCCACGCTTGGTTTGTTGTCATTTATATGATGTATTATAAAACAGTGGATCCACTCTGCTGGTACTAATTTAAAACGCTAACTACAAGCGAAAAGAAATTTATAGCGGGGGCATTTGTGCTAAAATTTTTGCTTTTCAAAGCCAAACAGCCATGGTTTTTGTAAGTGAAGAAATAATATTCTGGACTATCAAGATTAACTCTGGCTCTTTCCCCCGAGAAACTCCTCTAAGATCATAGAAAATAATGCTGTAATCTCATATTATGTTTATTAAGTCATATGAATGGAGGATATGGCTCTGAATTTTTCCATGTGAAATAGAATCTAAAAAATATAATACACTGCCTTTCTTAGAGTTGGAAAGTGGGCCTTTATAGACAGGTAGTCTTTGGAAAATGGTGGTAAAAATATGTACCTGTATGTATATATGTATGAGCATGCACAGGAATGTAATTACCTACAGCTGGAGAGTGACACAGATAACTAGAAAAATATCCTAGAGAAATTTTTGTTCACAAGCAAAGTTTTAAACATTTTGAATTACCTTTTACTTAATTTTTAATGACATCTTAATATATTTCCAAGTTATCTAAGAAAATAATAATTCATAGTAGTAGTCTATCCAAATTAATCCAAAATTATATTTGGAATAAAAGAAAAAGCACACATTTCATAAACTCTCTCTCTCTATAACCCAAACTAAAATGATGTAACTAATCAATAGAAACAGAGACAGGGAATTTTCTCTATCACAGAACATGGAATGGTAATATACACGCCAATGTATACAACATAGATTAAGGATCACAAACAAAATATTGGTTTGATTTTCTGGAATCAAGTTTTGATTGGCCTACTCTTTCAGGAAAGAACTAGAAATCAAAAATGTCATTCAGTCAATATAAGCAAATAAAACTCCTTACAAATAAACTTTTAACCTCCTTATGCTCATGTAAGGGAAGAAGATGAGTTCAAGGGTGCGGATGTAAAAGGTGAAAACAAAACCTTACATTTATAAACAGGGAGAAGTTAGCTGAGGCTGCTCCTATTATTACCACTGCTCTTACATCATTTGGATTTTTCCTTGACCCTTGTCCTTATTTTTCTTTAGTTTACAGATGGGGACTCTCTCTGCTGGTTGGGATCCTGGCTGCAGCAGCAGCTGCTACCATTCATTGAGTACTTACCATGTGCCAGGCACTCTGCTAAGTGCTTTGCGTGAGTCAGCCCTGTAAGTTATTGATATCCTGGTATAGAGGAGGAAACTGAAAGTCGCATACATTTATACCTTGCCAAAAGGCACATAGGGAAAAAGTGGCAAGCCAGGTTTACATGTAGGTATTCTGACTCCAGCTTCTTAACTACCAAGGAGGAATTTTATCAGAGCCTTTATCTTCCTTGACTTCTCACCGGTGGTAGAGCAGTTTAAAAAAAAAAAAACACAGTTCTATGTTCAATAAAGATTTTATTCCCACGAGTTTAGTGGCAGTGCATAAACAGCCTCAAGGTCACCTAATTGGCAGTAAAAGAAGAAAAGGGAAAAAAGAAATGCAAAAGTGTCTAAAAAAATAAGTCAACTTTATAGATGACAAGTATACTACCTACAAATACCACTTTGAATATTATTTGAAAATGACTAAAAATACCAACTTACACAGTCTGCGGCATTAACATCCACACCAGCATCTAGAAGCATTCGGACCAGAGCCTCATTCTGCTTTGTCTTGGACACCTATTACAAATGGCAAGTACATGAGGGTTGTTTCCAAACATTTTCTTCATCTGCTGTCCCGACTACTCCAATCAATAGGCTTCATTTTAATCCCAATACCCCTCTGTGTTCATGCACCTTTTAAAAAATGTCCTCCACCTCCACACCCCCTTCCGATATCAATTATGTCAAGCCAGTGTTCTCAGAGTGGGCCTGGATTATCATCGCAACCTGGGAATTTAGAAATGGAAATTCTAAGACCTACCAACTCCAATGCCTGTCTCCCTTCCTGGCTCAGAACCCTCCAATGATATCCCAGTGCTCTGAGGGCAAAGCATAATCTTTGGCCTGGCCCTCAAAGGCCCGTGTGTTTTGGCCTCCACTTATGTCCCTACCTGGCTTCCTCTCCACCCACGGCTCACCTTGGTCTAGCCACACTGGCCTTTGGTTAGTCTTTCATTCCCACTAGGCTCCCTAGTATCATAGAATAGTTGCACTACATATTCCTTTTGTCTAGAAGCCTTCTCCCTCCTTTCTTTGCCTGGTAAATTAATCTTAAATATTCCTGTAACCAATAAATAAAATATTATTAAAAAACATCTTTACTATTTCTGTCCAAGCTCCTCCTTCTTCCTCCGAGAAGTTTTTTATGGCCTAATTGGTCATGTAAAATCCGTCTCCTCTGGGCTCTCATCACACTGATCACCTCTCTGTACTACCGACCTCATGGTAATTTTTATGTTTCTGCCATTATTTGATTACTGAGTCACTTTTACTGCCCTCTAACTCTCAGGAGGGCAAGGACTACACCTGCTGGGTTCATCATTCATCCCTAACACCCAGCACAATCCATATGAAGTTTGTGTTGAATGATTGAACAAAAGGATGAAACTAACTAGGTTCCTCGGAAATCCACTTTTCCTGGCTAGTCCCAAGATTCTGACCACATGACAGATTGAGCATCCCGCCCAACACCCCACTGCTTGAGGGAGCACAGCTCTTCCTGCTCGGGGGACATGTCCTGGCAGGGGGTATGTCCTGGAGAACAGCCCCTTTATCACAAGGAAGCTCCATCCAGTGGTCTTCTGCCTTTGAACTTCTATCTGTGTCAACGTCCAAATGGACTTTCTCCTCCTCTCCCTCTCTGAAGTAATACAGTCCTTTCTGGTCCCTTTACCTGTAATTTCTTCTTATGTCACTCATTCCTTATGCATCACCAATTAAGCATTTCAGGTCCCATTAATAAATAGGGTACATGTGCAATCAGAGGCAGCTAATTTATTAGAATTAATAATTTTGCCCAGGCCTCCAGCTTTTAAACATTGGACTGCCTTAGAAAGTTAAATTGTGCATCAAATTCTGAATAAACCTTGCTAATCACAGCTGAAATTTTTTTTCATAATTCTAAAAAGTTTGGAAATGAATGACATATTTCCCTAGCCCCCAAACTAAAAATATTCGGGTGCTATGTACTAAATATACAACTAATTTTCCAGAACTTTTCAAGGATATAAGCAGATTATGTGTTTATCGGTGAATTATAGTTTCCTCTCTCCCATAAATCCAAGCACCAAAATCAACATCATTATGTTTAATTACTGTTCCTCAAATTCTGTACATTTAAATACCCAAGGTGGTAATAGCATTTCTGACTGGTCGACTTCGTTCTGGAGCTTGTGTTAACAGGAATAACTAACACACTTGGTCTATTAGCTACAAAGGGAAGAGAGAGACTGGTCATTTAACTGAAGTAAATGACACATCTGTTGAGTCATCTTTCAAAGGTGGAACTGTCTACATGAAAACTGGATGGTGAATGAGTCAGTGCAAAGTTGTCATTTTGAGAAAGAGCAAAACTCAAGCTTCATCTTCTACTCGTCATATGACAGCATTCCTACACCAACTGCATCTTTATGCACTCAAGAGCATCACTGCAGGCCAAAGACTCATTCAAGCATGAACAAATTCATCAAGGTGAAAGGTGGGCTCACATTCCCTACAAGGTCTTCTGTGTTTGTCAGCTACTAGCTGCAAGGCTCTTGGGATCTGTTTTTCTTACTCACAACCAGTTTCTGATTGTGAATAACAACGTACAAGTATATACAAAGACAAACTCCTCTTATAGGACAAGGATAAAAGAAACAGTAGGAGGAAAAATTTTATTTTTAATATTCAGGATTTATGTGCTTCCTTAAGATGATTCTTCAGCAGGATTAATTTATTTTTCTAAATAAACATTGTACAGATGCTTTTACCATTGATTAATTTATTTAGTGACCTTTCTTCTTGTTTTCCTTAATTACAGCATCGAATGTATATTGGAAATTTCTTTTATAGGCTACAAACCAAGAGCTCATTTTGTTACTATTTCTTCACATCTCACTGGCCCAGCAAATCTTAGTGAATTATGCTATTGATCTACTCATTGATCCTTTGATCTCACAAATGTACTCACCATGAGGAAATATCCAATAAGCAGGACAGGCATTAAGAGGATAATGAGCAGATAATCAAAGAAGGTAAATTTTTTCTTCACTGCATAATGCAAGCAGGTTCTCTCCTTCTAAAAATTAAAAAAAACAACTCTTTGTGAATAAAATATTTCACTTCAAATTTCACATTTTCAGATTGTTTGTCCTTTATTTTTATGATACCCATGCCACCCTTTTTCTGTGGAGTGCGTCTGAGGAATAAATCCAGGTTTCTGTTGATTAGAATGTTGAACAGAGCACAGTCTTCCAGAAAAGGCTGGGGCAGGGCCGCAGAAAGCTAACAGGTGAAATGTACATTTCACAAATCATCCAGAGATGAATTCTCACACTCGTTTTAGTTTTGGGGGAAAAAATACATTGAGATATAGACGTAGGATTTAATTCAGTATGAAAATGTATAGTTATCCCTTAATCACCCATGTTATACAGTTATTCATTTTGTGGTTTGTTCATAAAAAAATGTTGAACTCATGGCAATTTTTCTAGGTTTCTACATGAATACAGGCAGTGCTAGAAGAATGGAAATAACTCAATTTAATTCTTTAAGTACATAAATATTTATCAGGTGACAAATTTAAGTTTCTAGGGATTGTGAGGAATATAAAGCCTCAGGCCCTAATAATCAACCAAGGGAGATGGGAACACGCCCACGGAACAGGGCGTATTGTAATGTCAACCAGCTCAATGAGCAGAGAGGGAAAGCCAGAGAGAAAGAGAGGCTAACTTCCACTTGGGAGAGGCACTGTTCTTAAATAAGACTTTTGATTTTCTGATATAAAGGTATATATGTTCTCTGTAAAAGTTCTGTTGTTGCGATTCCTTTATAATGAGAAGAAGGGAATGAACACAGAACACAAGACACACAGAAGACAAGACACACACAGACAGGACATGGCTGCAGCCCCGAGTGCTTGCAGCAGTTTATTTTTAAAGGCAAAAGTTTGGCAACCTGCCCTGCTTACTTAGCAGCTTTATTGGACTTTGTTCCTTATTCTTTCCTTGAACCCTTTATCTGAATAACACAGTCCCTTGTCTGTTCACGTACTATTCTTAGTAAGAATGTTCCCAGAAAGGTCAGTGCCTGCAACTGCTCCTCCAGGCTCCCCGTTTGCAGCGTAGGAGCGCCTGAGCTCGTTTGCAAAGCTTCAGGCATGATCGTGGGAATGCAATGAAGATCAGCTGTTTGCAGCTGCTCTTCGTTGTCTTTAGTATGTGGGTCTCACTTTCATGATCCTCAGAACTCCTTCATTTGTGAACTAGGCAAGATGATCATAATAAATGAATTTTAAATCATTCAAGTGTCCATCAATAGATGAGTGGATAATGAAGCTGTGGTACGTGTACACAATGGAATACTATGCAACTGTAAGAAAGAAAGATTTCTTATCCTTTGAGATAGCATGGAGGAAAATGGAGAGTATTATCGTAAGTGAAACAAGCCAATCAGAGAAAGAGAAATATCACATGATTTCAGTTATTTGTAGAATATAATGAACAAAACAAGCTGAGGAACAAAACAGACCCACAGACATGGAAGCGGGGTGCAGACTGACAAACCTCGGAAGAGGTGGATATGGGGGGCAGGGTAGAGATAAACCACAGAACTTATATACACGTATGCGTAGACAAGGACATAGACAATAATGCTGGTGGGGGCGGGGGGCGGCCGGATTGGGAGTAGGGTGTCAATGGGGGAAAAAAGAGAAACATCTGCAACAAAAATTAATAAATTAAATAAATAAGTAAATAAAATCACCCAGTATCAAACAGCCCAGAGTTCATTGTTGACATTTTCCTATCTTTCCTTTCAATTTTCAAAAATGCGTATATGTAGAATTTTTAAATGTAGGTTCATACTGCATCTGCAAAATTATGTACACTTCTTTCAATTAACATTTAGAATATATGTATCTTTCCATGCCAGTTAATGTTTTTAAACATATGACTGTAAAGGCTGTATGGCTTTTTATTGAACAGAACTATTCGAATTTATTTAGCTAAGCCCTACCTGTTGGGCATTTGAGTTTTTAACTTTTGATTTGTATAAAAATAAGACTGTTTGAACATCCTCATTCACAAAGATTTGCCAACATTTCTAAATTTGTCTCTAGCATAAGTTTCTAAAAATATAATTCCTGGCATAAAAGGTGTTCATGCTCTTCATATGGTACTACTGAATCATGCTCCAGTAAAATAATAATGATTTAAACTTCCTTCCTGATCAATACTTGATTTTTGTTTCTAAGCCTGGTCAATTTGACAGACCAAAATACATCTATATCTTCATCCATATCTATATCTATCTTTATATTTTAATTTGCTTTTCATAGAATCAGTGTTCTCTATTAAACATGTGAATTTAAATCACCAGCAGAATTTTTTGTTTGATTTTAGGGCTTTCGTTTAGTACTTCTGAAAATAATTCATAAATATAGTTAAGAAATGAGAAAGCAGTGGGTTGTTATTAATGTAAAAAAATCATTGGTTTTTAGGGAAAAACAAAGAAGATGAAACGTTTTAAAAACATTTAATTGTAGGCACCACTGCGGGAATGCAGACTGGTGCAGCCACTATGGAAAACAATATGGTGTTACCTCAGAAAATTAAAAATTGAACTTCTACTTGACCCAGTGATCCCACTTCTAGGAATATACCCTAAGAAGCCTGAAACGACAATCAGAAAGAATATATGTACCCCCATGTTCGTAGCAGCACTATTTACAATAGCTAAGATCTGGAAACAGCCCAAATGTCCATCAGCAGACGAATGGATAAAAAAGCAGTGGTACATATACACAATGGAGTACTACGCAGCTGTAAGAAAGAAAGATCTCTTATCCTTTGAGACGACATGGAGGGACCTGGAAAGTATTATCCTAAGCGAAACAAGCCAAACAGAGAAAGACAAGTATCATATGATCTCACTTATTTGTGGAATATAATGAACATAACAGTCTGAGGAATGGGGTAGTCCCAGAGACGTGGAAGTGGGGTACAGACTGACAATCCCCAGAACAGGGGGTGGTGGGAGAGAGATAAACCACAGAACTTATATGCATGTATGCATGAACAGTGGACATGGACAGCAAAGCTGGGGACAGGGCGGGAAGGGGGAGGGAGAGGGAGAATCAGTGGGGGAAAAGGAGAAACATCTGTAACAAAAATAAATAAATAAATGAGTTAAAAAATTAAAAAAATAAAAATTAAAAACATTTATGCCCTGGCCGGTTTGGCTTAGTGGTTAGAGCGTCAGCCTGTGGTCCAGAGAGACCCGAGTTCGGTTCCCGCTAAGGGCATGTGCTTCGGTTGCAGGGTGTCCCCGGTCCTGGTTGGGTCATGTGGGTGGCAACCACTCGATGTGTCCCTTTCACATCAATGTTTCTATTGCTCTCTCTCCCTCCCACTCTATCTTAACAAAATATTGAACAATGTCCTCGGGTGAGGATAAAATAAATTAATTAATTAATTAACATTTAAATATTTTAAAAATAGAAAATGCAAACCAAACACTTATTCTGATAAAATCTCTATTAATCTAAGGCATCCACTAAAGTTCTTCCCACAATATTTATAAGGCTGGCTCAGGTTCCCTCAAAACAAAGGTGACCCCCTCAGCCCTGTCCCTGAACTGGCAAACATCTTCCTCGCTCAGCTTCCTAAAACTAAGTCTCTTGAGAGAGGATGTGGGCCCCTGGACACCTGCTGTTGCCACCCCCTCTCACCGCAGCTCCGCACACCTGGTTCTTCAGCTGGGAGGTCATCATACTCTGCTAAGCTGCAGATCTGTTAGAGCCCGCACAGGCATGACTTGCTTTGAAACTCAATCCAACAAACAAACCGTAAGCACAAACAAGAAAGTCCAGTAATGATTTATTTTTCTGATAATCCATTATCATTCCAAATAGCTGGTCTTTAAACTGACTTGCAGGTGGGGCCCTACAGGCTGTTTTTCCTCGTTGAATGTACGCGAGTGATGTAGGGCACCCATGATTATTACAGATGATAACTTTTTCTGTTTACTCAGTGTTCTTTAAAGGTTGCTTTCACTGGGATGCAGACACTGGACATTCCAAAGGGGTTCTGAAAGGATGCTCAGAAATAGACAGCATTCTGCTCTGCCTTCCCCAAAACCTCCATGTCAGCTAATACCGAATCTCTGATGCCTTTCCATGTGGCTTCAAGTAACCTCTGGTTCATGAGCTTATCTGTCCTTGGCAAACCTTTCCCTAGCATTCTTTTATTCTCTTAGCAAACTACAGAATCTTCTGGAGATCATTACATGGACATAGAAGGCAAAAACCTAATTGATGAAACAGCACCAGCAGGTCAATATTTTTTTTCCAGGAAAACTTTCTGATCAGTTCTGTAATAGTGAGGAGGAGGTCCCGGCCGGTGTGGCTCAGTGATTGAGCATCCACCCATGCATCAAGAGGTCGCCAGTTTGATTCCTGGTCAGGGCACATGCCCAGGTTGTGGGCCTGATCCCCAGTGGGGGCATGCAGGAGGCGGTCACTCAATGTTCTCTCTCACTGATGTTTCTGTCTCTCTCTCCCTCTCATTTCCTCTCCCTCTAAAATCAATAAAGAAAAAAAAAATTTTTTTTTAAATAGTGAGGAGGAGGAGCTGGGAGAGAAGAGAGTGAGTGGCAAGGAAAAACATGGGGAGGAGAAAGAAAAGACAGGAAGCTCCGTCCAGTCAATTGAGTGAACCATTCTTTTCCTTTTCAGTTCAAGGACCTAGATCCACAGACACAGAAGCATGGAACAGACTGATGGATCTCAGAGGGAAGTGGGGGTGGGAAGAGATTAACCAAATAACCTATATTCGATACGCCTAACCCATGGACACAGACAGGTGAAGGCCAGGGGTGGGAGAGGTGGGGGAGGGGGGAGCAGGATGGAGGGGGGTCAATGGGGGAAGAAAGTGGGGACTTCTGTATTCCTTTCAATAATAAAGATAAATTTAAAAATACAGATAGTTAATTAATAACTAATGTTATTTTTCTTGATTTTTGTGATATTTGTCTCCTTTTAAAAGATGTGTGATTCGTCACAGGGGAATATAGTCAGTAATAGTGTGATAATTATGTATGGGATCAGGTGGGTACTTGAAGCATCAAGGTGACCATTCTGTAAAGTACATGATTTTCTAACCATTTTGCTATACATGTGAAACTAATAAAGAATAATACTGGGCCTGGCTGGTGTGGCTCAGTGGCTGAGTGTTGACCCATGTACCAGGAGGTCGCTGGTTCAATTCCCAGTCAGAGCACATGCCTGGGCTATGGGCCTGACCCCCACTGGGGGGCACGCGGGGGGTGGCCCATCGATGTTCTCGTTCATCAGTGTCTCTCTCTCCTTCTCCCTTTCTCTCTAAAATCAATTAAAAAAAAAGAATAATATTGAGGGTAAACTGTAATTGAAAAATAAAAGAATTAAAAAATTAAATAAAAAAAAATTCAGGACATAATTAACCACAAAATATGCCTGCTGATTGAACAATATTTTATTTTGCTTTCTATCCTAATAAAATGTCCTCTGCATGTGTCAGTCTCTCTAAAGTAAAGCAAAAGTATAAATAAATAAAATGTCGGTAGCAGGAGCTAGAAGCATGAGACTATGACACTGCTTCCATCGATGCTGGGAGAAAGGAATTATCATCGTCAAGTACTTCCTCCACTCCTGTGTCACGCCTCACCTGGTTTCTGAGGTTCACATCAGCATTTCTTCTTAGAAGGAAGGAAACGATCTTGAGGTGCCCTCGCCGGCAGGCGCAGATCAGGGGGGTGTCTCCATTGAAGCCATCTTGAACGTTGATGTACTTGCTGTCCTCCCTCACCCAGCGCCACACTTGACCAAAGTCATTCTGATAGGCTGCCTGACAGATGGGCTGGGGAGAGAGAGAAAAAAAAGCAAATTTGTAAATATAATTAATCCACAAAAAGAAAAAAAAAAATCATTACCCAGTAACTTAAAATTCAGGTGTTTCAAAATCATAATATATTACTTTGTCGATGAGATTTTTGGTTCCAGTAATGCTCAGTGTTAAGTCTAGAGCAAACGTTGAGTCTCTAAGGAACCTCGTAAGATTTCCTAAAGTGCTTGGCACACACAAATGTACTAACTGTGCCCACCTCCCCCAAAATGAAAAGATTTGACAACACTGGTTCCACATTCCCATAGACCCCAAGTAAAGTCCTCTCTGCTTGGACTCCTCAGCATCTTTACTGAGACTTAAGTAAAACAAGAAAAGAAAAATGTGGATAGTTTTCCTGCAGTCACTCGATGTCTCTCAGTGCTTTCTCAAACCCATTGAGCGATATTACTTAAAAGATTAACATCATCTTATCTTTCAGTATTTCCTAGCCTTTCTGTATCCTAGACACAGAGTTTCTCTTTGTGAAAAGTAAAGTATATGCCTGGCTCAGTTAGACATACAAGAGATTTGTTGATTAAATTGTAAAAACCGCTGAAAAGATTCTATGCTGTTACAAATTCTCAATCTCCACTAGGGGGCAGCTCACTGACAAGAGAAAGACAGGAAACCCAAGTTGTGGTTGTCCCCATGCTGGCACACGCAACCCTTCAAACCTCCCAAATCCTGCCTTTCCAACACCCTCTCCCATCACTCCCTATCCGTGTGTATCCTTGACCTAAGTAAACAAAGATGTATGTTATTAACAGCTATCTCCCCAACTAGACTGTAAACTCCATAAGAGCCGATGTTGTGTCTATATTTGTACAGACATGGGATCAGCACCCAGCAGATGCCTGACAAAAAGTGAGAATTCAATATTTATTTGATGAGTAAATCAGTAAATGAATAAGTTATAATGAGCTTTTATTGAGCACCTCATTTACTTTGTTTAACCCTCACAGCAGCCCTATGGCTAAGTAGTCCTATAATACATTACACCCCTTTTGTGCAGGTGAAACTGACGGAGGTTGTCTTCCCTGCAAAGTCACACAGATCACAGCTGACAATGCCAGGAAGCGCGTCAAGAGGAAGGACTCCAGAATGCATACATTCTGCCTCTAATTCCGTCAGACAATTTAAAAACGGCCTTCAGAATGTCTTCTGGCTACAAGGCTTTGTGTCTGAGACTTTTTGGGTTGCACTTGCATCCAAAATTAAGCTACAGCTTACAGTCTCAGGAGACTGATCAGTCTTCTTCTGCCCTGGCCTGCTGGTATCCAAGCCTTCTTAGTTATATATCCAGATTCCTTCTCCAGATTGACCTAGAATTAGCAATATCTGCCAAGAGGTAAAGAAGTGGTGGTCAGAGCGGTTGTAAGAGAAACCAGAAAAATATATGGCCTAGATGAAATCATTTCAAGAAGGGAGGCAGAGTCGAGAGAATGAAGCATAAGAAACGATGGCTAGATTCGATCATTAATGACCTTTCAAAGATCAATTTTTATAGAGTGATGGGACAGAAAGCAGAATACAAGAGCCCAAGTACATGGTCTATGAAGAATTAAAGGATGTGACTGGCGAAGAATTTGTGGTAAATTTGCAGGAATCACTAAAAGGGAGCTCGGACGTACCCGGACGAGAGCAGCTGAGTGTGGCCAACGTTCCGCCTGTTTGCAGGCAAAGTGGTACCGTCCGGTGGTGTAAGTACAGGCTCTGGAAGCACATTTCTGAGTCCCAATCTCAGCTCTACCAGGTAACAGTTATTTAGACAACTTACTTAAACTCTGTGGTCAGTTTCTTTCTCCATGTAATAATCATGTCTTCTTTTTTTAGGTTACAGAAAGTATTAAAGGTGACTGTGTAGATGAAGCACTGAGCTCAGATGTGACTCACAAGAAACCCTCAATTAATGTTAGCCACACCAATAATTATTAAAACACGAGGAGCTGGTGACGATGGGCAGGGTGCTTATGAAGGAGTAGATAATTGCTCGAAGAGAGTGAAGAGGTGACAGGCAGGAGAACCCAAATGGATGCACGTGCCTTACGAAACAGAACGGCAACTCTGGATCCAAGGCCAAAGCCAGGAAGGAGGCCAGAGATTTGAAGCAGAGAGAAATTTACATTGGCTCATAGTTTTGCCAGGAAGTGTGAAGTTTCATCTTCATGCTTTATGCTCATATGTATCATAAATAAATACACAGGTCACTCTGTAAACAGCAATTATGGTGACATCGATGAATGGGTTGATGACACAGCAGAGGAAATTGTGACAAGTGGGGAAGACACTCTTTAGCGTGGTGAGGGATATTGGGGACGGTCATCATGAAAGTGTCTACATGAGATGAATAAAAATATAAAATTGCTTGGCCAATATATGTGAACCAGGGAGAGACTCCTGGACTTGATAAAAAAGAGAGAGGCAAGCAGATAGACACAGAGGGTGGATTGGAGCAGTGTTAGTACGTGTGACTGAGTGGGCACTGTGCCCAGTTAAGAAGTTATGGTAGGAGGCAGAGCTACCAAAATCTAAGTGTTGCAGACAGAACTTTGTTCAGAATGAGAAGTCAGGAGTGGCCTTGTTGGGTGGCTGCTCTGGAGTCAAGACAGAGGTCAAGAAAGGGACGTGAAGGCTTATGGATATGGAGGTCACTAATGATGACCCCAGGGGAAAGAAAGAAAGAAAAGAGAAACTGTGCTAGAGTATCAAAGAAGGCGGCAGTGTGTCCTGGAGTATGGTGGACAGATGTGAGAAGGTGGAGGGCTTAAGCAAAGACGTCAAGTCAGGTTTTGAGCCACCGTCAAAAAACGGCAATGGTGAACAAAGAATAAGTAGACTCAAATACAGATCACCGTGAGGTTTCAGGGGAGACACCAAGGAGGATGGGCTACGTCGGCGAGGGCGAGATTGGAGAGAAGTAACGTGCCTCAGCCTTGCTTTTCGCCTTACTGCGGCTCTCTCTCCTAACCCAGTCACTGCTGGGAGCTTCCTTCATGCCACATAAAGGCTAAGTGGGCCAAAGACAAACTTCAAAAAGAAAATCCTTGTGTCTCTTTTGTCTGACAGAAAAAATTTACTAAAAAATCGCCTAGCTGTTATGGCTCAGTGATTGAGCGTTGACCCATGCACCAAGAAGTTGCCAGTTTGATTCCCGGTCAAGGCACATGCCCAGGTTGTGGGCTGGATCCCCAGTGGGGGACATGCAGGAGGCGACCAACTGATGTTCTCTCTCACCGATGTTTCTATCTCGCTCTCTAAAAATCAATAAAGAGAAATAATTTTAGTAGTGAAGACATGAATCCTTAGGAAGAAAGGCTTGGCATTAATCATGAAATCAAATACAACCTAGTAGGCGTTCATTATTGTTCCCTAAGGTTTCTGAAGTTTTAGAAGAAGAAAAAATTCTTTGCTTTTGTGGGAAGACGCTTCATTAGTGCACAACACTCTTTCTATTTTTTTTTGTTGTTGTTGTTGTTTTTTATCCTCACTCGAGGACACTTTTCCATTTTTTGTTCAGATAGAGTGGGAGGGAGAGAGGAAGAGAGAGAGAGAGAAACATCGATGTGAAAGGGACACATCGAGTGGCTGCCACCCGCACAATCAACCAGGGCCGGGGACAAACTGCAACCGAGGTACATGCCCTTAGCGGGAACCGAACCCGGGTCTCTCTGGACCACAGGCCGATGCTCTAACTGGCCAGGGCGCGCACAAGACTCTTTACCAGAATCATTTTTGCTTCAAAAACCAACAAGTCCTTTTTAGAAATTGTTATGGAACCTTTTAAATGAGATGGTTAATGTATAACTTATCAAGTCCTCTGAGCCTCAGACAGGGTCCCACACGCTCCCTCCTTAGGCTGGGAATTAGGGAACCCCTACACTTTAGGAGGAACAATACTGAGAAGTGGGGTGGAGGGTGGAAGCTTTGCTTTGGGAAACATCTACAATGGCGAGCAGCTCAGCTATTCCGGTGTCATTAGTCATGCCAAGCATTTTTCTAGCTGTGATATCTATTTCACTTGGAGCAGTGCAAAATGTGATTATGTTAAAGAATGTATCCAGAATATTTTAATGAATCGTCAGCATGCCGGATAGCCCGTGTGCTACCCAGAAACACTGCTTAGAATCTAGGGTCTGGGAAGGTGGGACAGGGTGGAGCTCTAGCACCAAGTTCTTGACCCCTTTGTGGGAAGACTAAAGTGTCCAAAAAGTTGTTCCTAGTATTCCAACTTTCCAGAGTTGTAATTGCCCCTTACCTAGTAGGAGTGTAAGAGTTGCAGTGTCTCATTATGGCTTTGTTCTCATGATGAGGGCTTGTTTCTTTCACCCTTGTGGTGGTTCTCAACCCTCACAGAGCCTCAGAGTCACTCAGGGAACTGAATGCCCCACACCCGACTTCTCATTCAGTTGGTAAGTAATGGGACCTGATCTGTATTTTAAAAGTGCCCTAATGGCCTGGCCAATGTAGCTCAGTGGTTGAGCATCGACCCATGCCCCAAGAGGCTGCCAGTTTGATTCCTGGTCAGGGCACCTGCCCAGGTTGTGGGCCGAATCCCCAGTGAGGGGCATGCAGGAGGCGGCCAATTGATGTTCTCTCTCATCGATGTTTCTATCTCTCGCTCCCTCTCCCTTCCCCTCTCTCTAACATCAATAAAAGGAAGAAAAAAAAGTGCCCTAATGCTCTGCCAGGGTTGAGAACCACTGAGCTACTACTTTGTAAGCTTCAAGTCCTTCCCTAAGCTCACCTCCCCAGCAAGGTCAGAGCTGATCCGCCTGTCAGTCAACGAGAGATTTTTATCCATGTTTTGGTGCTCATCACTATGGAAGTCTGACTTCAGGAAGGCTGTAATCTAGTTAAAGACACTAATTTAACCTAGTGACAATGACTAAAGGCCAATGAGCAGCTCGAGGTACTGTATAGTTCCTGCTGCGTAGGAGACACCAAGGAGGTTTCTTAAACGTGAACCACGTGCT